TTGCTGCCACGGCTTATCTGTGCTGGATTGCTGCCACGGCTTATCTGTGCTGGATTGCTGCCCAAGTTTGTCTGTGCCGGTTTGCTGCCAAGGGCCTGTCTGTCTGTCTGTTAATTAAATGCCGTAACTTATCTTTGGCTCGGAGTGTGTGGGTGTGGGATGAGGGGGGACAGAACACATATCATATAAAATAACATACTTTTTAATTTTTCATTATCTTGTTTGATAATTTTATATGATTTACTATTTCTCATAGGTCTGTTTTGAAGATACAGTCAACTCTGTGAATATGAATATTTTTATGTACCAGATCAATTTAATTACTTGGCTCGTTTCTACTATTCACAAGCACACAAACACACAGTCAAATATATCTAAATTTTAAAATTGACATTATCTTTTAACTTGATTCAGAGCAGTTGTTTTAAGTGCTTTAAGCAAGAGCACAAAGAGATTATAAAAATTGTCTGGTTAAATAAACAAAAAACTTGACATAGAATGGAAATACCTACCTGTTGTCCTCCATAGCAGGTACATGAGCAGATGGCCCCAAGATATTCTTTCTGCCACTGCTCTCCTACATGATACATCTTCCCATCATCATAACAAGTTGCTTCATCTGCAATCAATTAATAAGTCTTTCAAAAATTGGAAGACTACCACGCTTTGTTAACTTATGCATGCATTATCATTATCTCCAATATTAGTTTCATCCTAAAACACTGCCAAATTATTCTGAAATAATTAATTCTATTGCTTTCTAGTATGAGCACATTTTTGCAGATTCTTTTTTCCCCATAATTATCTATGAAGAAAACATTTCATAGAGTTGAAAATAATTACAGAAATCACCGAATCCCTCTCCTGCTCAGTCAAAATATCTAGCAAAGATATTTTGTGGAAGCCTGTTCTATTGGTGGATAGTTGACACTGTTATTTTTGATATCTATCCTGATCTCTTCCCTTGTAGCTTGAACCCATTGGTACTGGTACTGCCCTTTACAGTGAAAAAGAAGTTCCCTTTGTCTTAAAAAGTTACAGGGAAAAGAAAATTAATTCTCAAACTCTTCAAGTTTGTCAATAGTGTCCAGTCTGGTACTCCAGAGCCATACGTGGATCTCAAAATTCCTCCAATCCTGATTAGATCTGCCTTTCAGAAAGGGCCCTAGTCCACAATTTTACAGGCCAAGCGGCAGTCTTTAGCATCGCATTAAAAAATTAGGAATCTGCATTCCATAAAAATGTTGTATTCCTGCTGCATTTCAAAGGTGAAGGAACTGTAGTCCCATAATGGCTGGGAGGATAGTTTTATAGGGACAGTTTTATAGTTTTATAGCAGAGTATCAGAGCATGATCTGCTGACTGGCTGTTCTTCTATTACAGTAGGGATTGTTTTATAAATTAACTATTTGAATTCTGCAAAATAATCTATATATTTCCATTCAATATAGGTAGTCCTTGAGTTTCGAATGAGATGGAGCCTGCCCATTCCATTCATAACCCGAGGATTCGTAGGTGTGAATTGCGTAATTTGAATGTGATCAATTCTTCCTTTTGCCCACACATTCGCTAATTGAATGCAAGGCTCGTTAAGGGCACAAGAGGCATCTCAGGGTGGGGAAGGCCATGGGGGGCTTAGTGATAGAACAGGCCTCCTTATTACCTTGTTCTCCCTCCCCTGCAGTCCCCAGAATGGCTCTCCCCATAACCTGCCATGCCGGGTCACTTTCCTTATGAAGGTCTGTCTCTCCAGCCTGTTTTTTGGCCTGCCCCCCCCCCCTTTCTTTCTTTTTTTCAAAGAAAGTCTTTTTATTTTTTGTTTTGCTCCCTCCTTTCTTGTCGGCAAAGCATTTGATGAAGCCTTAGGCGACACAAAACGAGGTGCAGAGGACCACGCATGCCCTTCCAGTCCTCCTTTCTCCCCACTGAAGTGCTTGATGAAGACTTTGGCGACAGGAAAAGGGGTGCAGAGGGCCTTTCCGGGCCCCCTTTCTCACCGCCAAAATGCTTGAGGATTGAGTCGCTGTCGGCTTCAGAAAGCCCTTTGGAAAAAACCTTTGCGGTAGGAAGAGAGTTTTGGAAAGGCACACCCACTCCTCCCAACCTCCATTGGGAGCCAAAGCCTACAGGGACGCAATCTGTAGGCAGCCTTCGGCAAGAAAATGGCAAACGGGGGAAAGGCCTTTCCTCTGTTTGCAAATGTGCAGGCCTCAATTCACAGGGGATAGAGGCCTAAAGTGCAAGATCCCGCGAGATCAGTAGCATGAGATCTTGCGTGATCTCATGCTACCTTTAGGCCCCTGTCCTCTGCGAATGCACCGAAACCCTGAAGCAACGAAGCAAGCAAAAAAACTTGGGACAGAGCCTTAGCAAAGGAAGTCTCCACGGGCCAAGGGTCTGTGAAGACCCGGTCGGGGTGAGGTGGGGGTGGAAGAGGCAGGGCGAATGTTGCAGAGCTTCTGGGTCATTTTTAAGGGTGAACAACTGCCTTGGTGCTGCAACGTTTGTAATTTCGGGACTTGTTTGTAAAGACTAGGGAGCGCCTATTGTATAACGTAGAACGTTCGCCAAGGGAACACTCGGAATTCAGGGCTTATCTGTACAACGTAAGTTAGAGACGCTGTTCATGAAAAATACATACGAGGGTCACACTTGAATTCTCCTTTTCCATTTCCAAGGCAAGTGCAGCTCATCACCTGGCCATTCTCTCCATGCCTATCCCACTTCTCACCGATCTTATAGTTCATCCCATTGTCATGACACCACTCTGAACGAAACAAAATAATAGTTGGAAGCGGAATGGTTTGCAACTGCAAAGCTTTTAATACAAGTTGATTTTTGTACTGCTTGTGCCCTGAAACTGATGCATTGGTGAGAGGAAACGACATAGAGCAACATCTTAGTTGAGAAAGGAAGAGCTCTGCTCCAGGGCCACTGAAATGAAATGGCAACTTAATCATAGTTGGACATCTTAAGAAAGCCCCACCAGCGCAAGGTTGACTCAGCCTTCAATTTTTACGAGGTTGGTAAAATGGGGACCCAGATTGCTGGGCACAATATGCTGACTCTGTAAACCACTTAGTGTTGTAAAGCACTATATGTCTATTGCGATTTATGATCAACAT